TGGGAAGGAAATCAAGTCTTCAAAATGGAAGCAAATGACAACCCATTCGATGTCTCGGAACAAGTTGAAGAGTCAGTGTTTTATTCCAGTCATTTGGCTCCGATGTCTCACTTGTATATGGCCAGGGAATACCCAAACAAGGGTTATAAAGTCACTGGCCAGAACTCGATGTTCTATTAAAAGAACAACTTTATTGTATGGCTCATGATAAAGCCACACCTTTTCTCGTATAATTTGTTTGTTATGGGTGATACAAGTTTAGAAGTATGTAGTTCTCTTATTAATAAGTTTTATTTAAAGCAGTTATTACATAAAGCAGAAAACAGTAAAGAAATTCTCGATGTTCACCTCCAAGAAGATGAACAATTTCGTTGGCCTGATTTATTAGAAAAAACAGAACCAACAGCTTCATCACAAGACCCATTAATGGAGTTTAATTTAGGAACCGAATTGGTTCCAAAAGTGATCAGGCTAAGTGGTTATTTGTCTAAAGAGCAACAGACAATGATGCTTGAAGTTATTAGAAACAACATTGATTGTTTAGCATGGGATTATCCAGAAATGCCTGGTTTGACAAGAAGTCTAATAGAGCATCGATTGCCTATCAAGGAAGGTTGCAAACCTTACAAACAACCTCCAAGGCGAATGAGCCCGGATCTGATGCCTCAAATCAAGGAAGAAATCCAAAAACTTCTTAAAGTGGGTTTCATTCAGCCTTGCCGTTATGCGGAGTGGCTGGCTAACATTGTGCCAGTAGTCAAGAAAAATGGTAAGATAAGGATATGCATCGATTTCAGGGATCTGAATCTAGCTACCCCTAAGGACGAATATGTGATGCCTATGGCCGACATGTTGATAGATGCAGCAGCAGGGCATAAAGTCCTTAGTCTGATGGATGGTTATGCAGGTTATAACCAAATATTTCTGGCAGAGGAAGACATTCCTAAGACAACATTCAGGTGCCCAGGGGCTTTAGGTATTTACGAATGGACAGTCATGCCATTCGGATTAAAGAATGCAGGGGAAACTTACCAAAGAGCCATGAATTCAATCTTCCATGATTTAATTGGCAAATCTATGGAAGTTTATATTGATGATGTTATTGTTAAATCCTCCAGTTTTAGCGAACATTTGAAAAATCTTGAAGAGGCATTCGGAAGAATGAAGAAGTACAAGTTGAATATGAATCCAAACAAATGTGCTTTTGGAGTATCAGCTGGGAGCTTTTTAGGATTTTTAGTTCATGAGAGAGGAATTGAAATCGATGCCAATAAGGCTAAAGCCATTCTTGACAGTCGGCCACCCAAGACGGTTAAAGAAATCCAAAGTCTTTTGGGTAAGGTGAACTATTTGAGGCGTTTCATTTCTAATGCTGCTGGCAAGGTCAGACCCATTACTAAATTGTTGAAAGCTGGAAAAGATGCTTTTGAATGGGGTCCCGATCAACAGACGGCTTTAGATGCTATCAAGCAGGCATTGGTTCACCCCCCAGTCCTGATGCCTCCTAAACAAGGTCGGCCACTCAAACTTTATTTGGCAAATACATATGAAGTGGTTAGCTGTTTTTTGGCGCAGGATGGTGATGACGGGAAGGAAAGGGCAATCTACTATCTCAGTAAAACCCTTACAGGACCAGAACTGAATTACACTATGCCAGAAAAAATGTGTTATTCATTGGTCTTCGCTTGCACTAAACTCGAGCATTATTTGCTGCCCAGCAGAATTGAGGTCATATCAAAGGTGGATCTCATCAAATTGATTTTACAGAGACCTACTATGAAAGGCAGACTCATGAAGTGGGCCATCAAATTGGCTTCTTTTGATCTTCAACATTCCCCTTTGAGGGCAATCAAAGGACAAGCAGTGGCCGATTTCTTAGCAGAATTTTCACAAGTCGGATATTCTCTTTGTGATAGTGTCCGACCACTTAGTTGTTCATCATATCTGAGTAATCTACAGGTCGGATGTGTACCTTATGTAAGTACCAGAACATGGTTGATGTTCTTTGATGGTTCTACCTCTGGAAACAAATCAGGGGCAGGGGTCTTTTTGCAAGGACCTGACGGTCAAAAGATCAACTTACAACTACGATTGGAAGCCATGACCCATAATTCGGCAGAATATGAAGCTTTAATTTTAGGTTTGGAGGCTTTAATAGCCAGGAAGGTCCAGTCTGTAATCATAAGAGGGGATTCTCAACTAGTAATCAATCAGGTAAACAATCAATATGTTTGCAATTACCCTCATCTTCGCAGATACAGGGACATTGTGGGTCGGTTACTGACAAAAATCTCAGAAGTAATAATTGAGTTCATTCCGAGGAAAGAAAACCAACGTGCTGATGAGTTGGCTCAAAGGGCCTGTAAAGGAATTTTGGAGGATATGTGGTCGGAGGTCAAGTCGGGCATAGAAGGAAAGACAGACCAAATATGTGATCGAATGGTCGGGCAAGAGATGGTCGGGCAAGAGATGGTCGGGCAAGAGACTGTTGGACAGGAGCCCGACTGCGTAGTTACTGTTGGACAGGAGCCCGACTGCGTAGTTACTGTCGGACAGGAGCCCGACAGCGTAGGTACAGTCGGACACAAAGATACCAGTGAAACAATGACCGATTGGAGAACAGAGCTTATCATGTATTTACAAAATCCAGGCGCGAGTGTTTCAATTGCGACACGATTGAAGGCTTTACGTTTTCAATTGATAAATGGAATTTTGTATAAGAGATCATTTGAAGGTTTACTTTTGAAATGTTTGGGGTCTACAAAAGCTCTAGAGGTAATGACAGAAGTACATGCTGGAATATGTGGAGCTCATCGGGCAGGTCTGAATATGAGATGGGCCATTCATCGTTTGGGTTTTTTCTGGCCAAAGATTTTTGAAGATTGCATACAATTTGCCAAAGGCTGCCAGGAATGTCAGAGACATGGAAATTTAAACCATTTGCCAGTAACCGAATTGCAATTTTTGGCAAAACCATGGCCTTTTAAATCTTGGGCTATGGATATTATTGGTAAGATACATCCTGCTTCATCGAAACACCATTGTTTCATATTGGTCGCGACTGATTACTTTACCAAATGGGTAGAAGCAATTGCTTTGAAAAATGTAGATCAGAAAGAGGTGATAGATTTCGTGTTAAATCAAATTATTTACAGATATGGTATTCCTTAGTCTATAACAACCGACCAGGGCCTGGTTTTCACAGGGGAAAAGTTTTCTAGTTTCTTGGCAGAATATGGTGTCCGATTACACCATTCGTCACCTTATTATCCCCAGGCCAATGGACAAGCGGAAGCAGCAAATAAGATCATTATTGGGATTATAAAGAAGATGGTTGAAGGGAACCCAAGAAAATGGCATTTGTTATTGTCTCGGGCTTTTTGGGCACATAGGAATACCAGAAATACGGCCACAGGGTTCTCACCGTACCAACTCACTTTTGGCCAAGATGCTGTTTTACCAGCCGAAATCCGAGTATCATCTGGCCGAACAGAGTTTACTGATGGTGATCTTACAAAAGAATACCAACAACTTATGTTACAACAGTTGGAAGATTTGGATGTTAACCGACTCCATGCAATAGGTCAGAGTGTGAAACAGAGTGAAATCAGAGCAAGGAGTTATGGAAAGAAAGTTCTTCACAGGACATTCCAAAAAGGAGACCTAGTCTGGAAGACCATTCTTCCTACATATAAGAAAACTGACCAATTGGGAAAGTGGTCACCGAATTGGGAAGGACCATACATTATTCAAAAAGATATTGGGAATGGTGCTTTCATTATTGTAAATCATGAAGGTAAGAGAGTACATGATTGTATTAATGCTAAATATCTGAAGAGGTATTATCCTGCCTTTTCAGATAACAAAACTGCCTGAAGCAAACTATTATTCAGAACCCATTTGTGGGGTTCGAACCTATTTAAAGGTTCATTTCTGTTAGTCATCATGTATTTGTGAGAAATTTTCTGCCTCTGAATCAGAATGTTCATCCCAGTGAGTGGATATTAGTTCTGGTTCTTCTTCAATAAGATCTTCCAAATCTGGTCGGTACCTCTCCCATTGGCTTTGCATTTCGTCTAAATCTTGATTGGTACGTGCTTGCATGTCCGTTATGGCTTGATATTCACGGTCAACAATGGTACGCAATCTTGAAAAGACTTTTCGTTGATTGGAAAATATATTATCCCAACCAAGATCTGGAAGTATGGTTGCTGCGTGATTTTCTATCATTTCCATGTGATGATGGAGGTCAGGAATGCGGCTAAGGATGTCACGAAGAGGTTCATACCCCTCAATGATTTTTTCCATCAGGCGGATGACGCGATGAATGGTTCTTCTACCTCGTTGGGAGAATCGGAATTTGAAGTCTAGTTGCTTGAGTATATGTAACAAGTCTTCTGCATGGCCTCCAATAGGGTGATTACCTACAAAGAAGGGTTGAAGAACACCTTCCCAGTTGCTTGATGGAACATGAGGTCGGTCATTCGCCATGTTTGTTAACACTTCAAATGTTTGATTTTCAAAATATAGTTTGATGGCCTCAGTGAATATAGTTTGGGCCTCTGCTGGAACTGGAACAGTCGATAGGATAGCTAAGTCCGAAGGCCCCTGCAAGTCTTACAGTTTCAATAAGATATGTGTCACCTCTGGGCGAACTGCTGTCAGTGAAGGGGGCAACTATGAGGTCGGTCGAGTAGGGCGGACAGCTGGTATAACGGCAGCCGACTCGTCGGCTGCTGCGAATGGTCGCTGAGGTGCCGACCTGGGTCCCTATGGAAAGTAGAATATAAAACTGTTAGTGTTTTCCGAAAGAAACATCGTGGCATGAATTGGTTTAATCTTACCAAATTCACAGAAGTTTCCGAATCGGACGACGAAACTTCTTCTATTTCTGGAGGTTGGGCTGCCACAGGTGGTTCTACTGCCTACCACTCGATTGCTGGAGGTAGCGCCGCTGCTGGTTGGGCGGCTGCAGGTTGGGCGGCTGCATCTAGAGCCACTGCAGCCGGGATCTCTGGAGCAACTGAGATAGCCGCAGCTGAGGCACTTTCGGCTTCCAGCGCGGCTGCATCCGATTGGACTATTTCGGGATCGGCAGCAGCAGGGATGTCGTCTTGAGGGTCAGCTTTGGCAAGGGCAGCTGGTCCTTCCTTCGAAATGGATGAGTCTGATGCCATGTATGGCGGTCGACCCATCTGGGAAGTAGTCCCCTCGCTGTCTGCAGAGACCCCTGCTGCTGATGCGATTGGTGAAGGTGTCTGTGAAAAAATCATAAAAATGTTGTTGTTAAATACACCAAGGTTGATCATTAGAATCCTAAGTATTGCTGATGAGGGAACTTACTGGTTCTATAGGCACTGCTGGTAAAGATTGCCTCCTGGTCGGGTGCCTGGCCCGACCACTCCTCGGTACGGGAGGAAGAGTTTGCCTCCTCGTCGGGTCCTCCGCCCGACTGCTCATTGGAGTAGGGGTTTGGAGATGAAATGCCTCAGTCTGAACCAAAGGTACGATTGAATGGTCGGCTGGGGGTGGCATCGTTTGTGTGGTCGGTGCTACCAAGGTCGGTTCTGGTGAATGAAATGAGTGAAATCAAAGTTAAGATATAGTGAATTGGTTCACGGTTTTAAGAAAAATTACCTATTCGGGGTCGGGTCCTTGCTGACGTCCTAGTTGTTCCAAGGTCCGCTGGAGCTTGCTGGTCGGCCCCAGAAGTCGGGGGTGTTTGCAGCTGGGAAGCTTTCCTTTTTCGTATTGGAACACTAGATCCGATTCCCGGGGCGGCTGTTTGTGGCTGAGTGCTAGTATGTCTAGCCGCCCCTAGAACCAATCCTTGGGGGGGAAGGAGTATGTTCAGCAACCGATTCTTATCAGGGGAAATCAGGGGCCATACAACTGACCACCATTCATTGAATGTATCTACAGTCTCAGGGTTGGAGCGGAAAGGAATATAAGAATTGGAAATTATATACGTGGTGAGCTGGGAGATATAAGAAGGGATTGAATTAGGTAGGACTCGTCGGTCAGGACTTTGAAAAATTATATGCGGACAAGCGACGGGTCCAGGGATACCTTGGCAACAGCCGAACTGGCGCGCCATGAATTGAGGTTCATAATTAAAGGTGCAAAAAGTTTTTTGCCCTTTTTTATCAAGTTTTTTGCTGCTAAAAAGAGACCTGGGTTTGAGGGCAACGTCCCAGGCAAAAGGATAGGTGGGATGAGGACAAGGTTCAGGAGTCGGAAGAGGATTTGGTGCCGGAAAGGGCCAAAAGTGGTCGGGAGCATAACCCGCATACTTTTTATACATAGAAAATCGAGAGTTACTGCGGGTATCTGTTAAAATTGTGGTTATTATTGGATCGGAAGATTGGAGTTTATTACGTCCTGAGCAGAGTCGGTTGAGGGCTAATCCCAAATGTTTTTCGGATATTGGCATAGTGGGCGGAGATCCTAAGTTGAACGCGTTGGGGAAGTAAAGACGGAACCAAAGTTCTAAAAACCAAAACGGACCCGATGCGGCAGTGTCTAATTTTCTATTATCATTATCTGTTAAACGAAGACTAACCCTGGTGAGTCCTTCAAACAGATTGGCTAAAAACAGGGTGCCAAGGGAAAAGAACCGACCTGACGCGATATGAATGGCCAGGTCGAGATGAGAAGAAAGAACGCATTTAGAAGGGGAAACAATGACGTACCTACAAAGCCAAAAAAGAATAAAGGCAGTATGCTCCCGGTCGGTCACGGGGGTCCCTGGAGCCCCCTGCTGGTCGGTTGCGAACTTTGTCCAGCCCCATTCCTTCACGCCTTGTAAAGACCACCCTGGATGGTCTTCTGGTGGCTCCTGCCCATTTAGAGCTCCCATCACAGGGTCTTCACCCACGACTGGGAGATGCGCGATCATTGCAACATCCATGAGAGTCGGACCAAAGGGGCCCGACGGTAAGAGAAAAGTCCCATTTTCCGCATTCCAGAAGGCAGACATGGCTAAGAGCACCTTCTCATGCAGATTGATCGGCATGGTGGACAATAGTATTGCTTGGTCGATTTTTTGAGATCGCCATTGGGTCTGGAAGTGTTCTGCTACCTGTCGATACCAAGCGCGGTAAGGATCTTTTGGGTCCGTGAGATGGCTTTTGATGCTATCTCGAATGCGAACTGCTTGGTAGTTAGGGTTATTGATAGCCAAGGAATTTCGGGATTCCAAAACTTCCCTCATCCGATTTGAGTCTTCAGGTGTAGTGCAGTATGGGCGAATCGTCGGAGTTAATACTTTCGAGGCTGAAAAGGGGCCCTCTGGGAGGTTTCCGTCGAAGGGAAGGGCAGGAATGTATTGATTCGCCATGGTTGGAGTGTTTGAGATTGTGATTCACAAAGGCTTGTATGGCGGAGAAGGAAGTTAATCAGGAGTGTTGCAGTAACTGGTGCGGTTGCTAAGGGAATTTTTCAGAGGATGGTGATTTATGAACTTCCAAACATCGATTGTTAAATGGCGTTTGAAAGTCCCTTGGCGGCGGGCAAGTTGTTACGTACGAAATTTAGAATTAGGTTAAAAGCCCAAGGTAAAAAGAAGAATGGGCTTGGCAATAGAGTTGTTTGAACTGGCTGAAGGACACCGTGAGGAAATCAAGGAAAATAGATATATTTCTAAGGAAAATACAGGACGGAAAGACTTCAGGTCGGAAGGTCTTCAGGTCGGTAGGTCCTCAAGACGGAAAGTCCTCAAGACGGAAAGACCTCAAGTCGGAAGGTCTTCAGGTCGGGAGGCCCTCAAGACGGAAAGTCCTCAGGACGGAAAGACTTCAGGTCGGAAGGTCTTCAGGTCGGTAGGTCCTCAAGACGGAAAGTCCTCAGGACGGAAAGACCTCAGGTCGGAAGGCCTTCAGGTCGGGAGGCCCTCAAGACGGAAAGTCCTCAGGACGGAAAGACCTCAAGTCGGAAGGTCTTCAGGTCGGGAGGTGACGGAAAGTCCTCAGGACGGAAAGACCTCAAGTCGGAAGGTCTTCAGGTCGGGAGGTCCTCAAGACGGAAAGTCATCAGGACGGGAAGTCTGCGGGTCGGGAGGCCCTCAGGTCGGGAAGTTCTCAGGTCGGAACTCTGCGGCGGGACCAACAAGTCAGATGGTTTGCAAGTCGGGAGGATTGGCAGTCGGACCAATACGGTTGTAGATTGGCAGTCGGGCCAAAAGGGCGGAAGGTCTGTGGTCGGCCAAAGAGTGAAGTATAGGGATAATTTTGGTCTGCTGAGGACACGTGTCAGCAGGAGAAGGGTTGGAAGACGGTTGGGAAGGAGACGTTGTAACCGTTCGGGCGACGGTTTTCAGTACAGTTTCCCAGAGAATATTTAAGGATTGGGATCATCATTTGACAAGGTATCTTCAATCAACTTCAACAAAGCAAAGTCAGATTTGGGGATCACCACTTTAAATTTCAGTCTTTTATTTTCCAGTTTATTTTCTGTAACATACAGTGTTTAGAGATTCCTAATCTCAGGCACTAATTAATCAAGTTTAAGGATATTTTCTATATCTTTGAATTTTACTTTATTTTTGTTGAAAAATTACATCAACAATAATATATTTATATATATAGTGCATTAACTTATATATTTATATGTATATATATATGTATATATAGATATATTACTGCGTATATATATATTAGAACAATTAATGCAAGTATATAGAGATGACCTTAAAGGAGGGAGAGAGAGAATTTATGGATTTTTTATTCCAATGTGTGTGACTTGACATAATTATTTATAGGAGGGAATAATGATAGGTGTGGTTAATATTGCACCACTAACAAATCAACAATTATACATATCGCCTACGTAGCAACTATATGATTGACATCGACAAGCATCCACGTAATTCATTCATAGGTATTGTGTATTACAATATTATACTTTTTCTTTTTTTTTTTTTTTTTTTTTTTTAGGAATTATGGTCTCCACAAATATTACTCTCTCCCTCCCAGTTAATTAGTTCACTAAATATATTAAAATTCATAATTTATAATTTTTTAATTAAATTATTTAGTCTTCTTAATTAATATAAAATTATTTTTATTAAATCATAATTATTTTTACTTATATTCTTTTTAATTACTCACTAATTATACAATACCTAAAACTTCATGCCTAATCTAAATGGACAAATTAGCCGGGACGGAGTAAGTAAAAGAAAGATTACATATTACTTACAATACCTTCGATATAATTTATCTACATCCTTGAATTCTTTTTTTTTTTGGCAAAATTTTTTTGTCTTTTGCAGGTTGGAAATTTAATTGCTATAGATGAAATACTTATTCGATTAATTTAGGATGATTTCTTTTAACATTTCAAATCAAAATAACACAATTTACTTATATATTTCTGATAAAAATACACTATTTTCTCACATAACATCGTATTAAACTACTGTTTAAATAAAAACTCAATTCAATCCACAATCTTAACTCAAAACCAAACAAACTATTTAGGAATTGAAAACTATAAGACTATTCCAAGTATATATATATATATATATAAAGACACCAGCTCTCTTAATTTTTTTTTATCACTATCATTAATCCAATAAAACAAACCAATTTACAACATACAAAGTCCAAACCAATCCAATCCAATCCAATTGACAGAAACACAAAACAAACTAAACAATGTAAAAAAAAAAAAAAAAATCAAACAACCAAACTAACTATGGTTAACAGCCCTGCAGTCCAATCTAACCTCAGTTCCAGCTCCATTGATGGAGCTCATCTTGATCATGGAGTGAACAAAGGCCTTAAAGAATTCCTCCTGCGAGGCTGCGAACCGCGCCGCCAGGGCCTTCGTCCGCGGACTGTCGAGGAGGGCCTGGTCCGACGTCAAAATGCTCTTGCCTCCCACCAGCATTCGATAATATGCATTGTCGAAGATCGTCGGGGTCGGGTCCAGGTTGGCTCCGGCACTCTTCACCTTGTTGTGCATCGGGCAAACTTGGCGTAACCCGGCTGCGAAAGATGGGTTTATTGCCGGGTCGACGTCGGTTTTCGAGTTAAAGTTGTGGATCCTGTTTTGGAAAGATGAGCAATGGGAGAAGCCTAGGGTGTGCCCTCCTACATATATAGATACATGAATTAGGAATGGATTTGTCTCAGATTAATGATTCTTTGTGATGAAAGTATTTGTTTGTGTTCTTCAGTATTGAAATTGTTAGTTTATAGGGAATCTGTTAAACAAGTTTGAAGTTTCAATATTGTTAGAATATATGTGCTGGTGTATTTGAATTATTTAAGAAACTTGTTGGACTCTTGACACACGTTTAGGTTGAATGAGAGACAAATGCTACTCCCTCCTTTCTAAACAAGATGCAACACTTAGTTTTTCGCACGAATTTTTAGGTGGGTAGTATTGATGCAGAGATAAATATATTTTTTATTTTTTTATTTGAATGATGTGAGAGAATAAAGTGTGAGATATAAATTATATATAATTAATTATTTCCTATTTTGGAAATATTGTAAGGTGTTTGAGACATACCAAAAAGGAAATATTGCAGGTGTTTGGGACGGAGGCAGTATAATTTATATACATATAAATATATAGTCCCTCTATCCATATTTTTTATATTATTTTGTCTGAAAAATGATACTCCATCTGTCATTCAAATATGTGCTTATTTGAACGGGCACGAGTTTTAATTGTTATTTTTTCTTTTTATAGTAAAAAAAAAGTACAAAAATGTAATGATTTTTTACTTAAAAAAAAAACGAGAATATTTTTTTATGACAACCCAAAAAAGAAAGTGAACCTAGATTTAAATGACAGAGAGAGTACTAAAGAATACTTTCTCTATCCTATTTATTATGTCTACTTTAATATAAACATAAAAATTTAAAATGAGTATAATTAGTAAATAATTAATAATATATTAGTAAAAATAATTATTGTATAATAAAAGTAATTATAGATTAAGATTAAGATAAATAATTAATCAAATTAAAATAAAAAATTTAAAATAAAATTAAAGTGTATAATCAGACAAAATGGAAATGTGAACATAGTAAGTAGAAAAAGAAAGTAATAATATTTTAAAATAAAAGAAAATTAGCTAAAAAAGTAAAATAGAAATATCGTAATATTTTTATTAAATAGTTGAAAAGGCGGTGGCAAATTATTTATTACTATATGTTAAAATGGGAATAATAAAATTATAAATGAAAAAATTATTTATTATAATTAAATTATTTATTACTATATGTTAAAATATGAATAACAAAATTATAAATGAATAAAATTATTTATTATAAATAAATAATATAAATTTAACAGAAAAAAAAAAACTGACATAAGTATTTCGAATTGAAAAAGTATTTTTCAAAATACATATATCGACAAACCTGAGAGTGCCAATAGATCATCTATAGAGAGGCCTCTTTGGGAGAAACTTTGTTGGAGCTGAGAAATATTGAAGGTTGGGAATGGAAGTTTAAGTGAGTCATTAGCCTTTGAAATTCTCCCATCCTTTCTTCCTTTTGGGACTTCCCAACTTGGACCTCCCGACTGAATTCATGTCGTATCATAACATATTATATTATATATATTTCTTGACTGAATTCATATCGTATCGTATCATATCATATCATATAAAATTTCTTCGAATATAAACAACTATGCTTGTAATCGAAACAAAGCAAAAAAAAAAAAAAAAAACATACAAGTGCAACAGCATCTCTCGCGGCAAGAGCTAAAATGTCGGCACATGAGACAACTCCTGGGCAGATTTTCTCAACAGCTTTCTTGGCAAGATCAATGACATAGAATGCATGTAATGAAATATTCGGGGGCCCGGCTTTCTCGGCCCGGTTCGACCCCTTCGAGTCGAGAAGCACAGATGCATCACACCCCTTCCAATTTTACACAACACATATTATTGATATAGTAAGTAGTAACCAATATATATACCATTAAATGGCACCAAAGCAAAGCCCACATATGTACTTGTTAAATTCAGCATATTACATTCCTAGTAAAAGGTTTGTTCCTTTCAAGATTCTGTTTTTATTATTTGGAATCTATATTCTCCTAAAAAATTATATTTTTTATTTCACAAAAAATCACATTAAATACTCATTACGTCCCTTAATTAGATATTTATTTACTTTTTACATAGAGTTTTATATATTAGTATTATATTGATACGCAGTAAGAATAAAGTAGAAATTATTAAAATAATCCTATTAGTATTGTATAATATAAATGTAATGACATAACTTGTAAGAGTATTTATAATGTTAGTAGATAATACAATTATAAAAAAAAATAAATACTTTACTGTGAGACGAATCAAAAAAAACAAAAAAAAAATTTGTTAAGGTTCGAAAAGAGTATTATTTTAATTAAAAACCCAAACCTCCAAACTCAATCAAGACTCAAAAGAAAGACACCCCAAATGAATATAGCTTAATAAATTTATACAGGAAGAAAGTATCTCATAACTGAATTGAACATAAAATCAGCACAATGTAGATAATATAAATATATATATATATGTGTGTGTGTATGTATGTATTTTTATACCCTGATGAAGCAATCATGGAAGTGCATTCTAAGCAAGGCTGCTGGAACTGTTTTGTCATTGATCATCCCTTTATGGACAGCTCTTGTAATGGCTGACTCAGCTCCAGGGCATGTTTTCTCATAATAGTCTACACTTAGTGCATTAGAAATGCCCAAAAAAGTAAGTATGATCAAGAAACCAATAAGGGCTACTGCAGCCATTATAATTATGTCTAATAATGAAAACCCACAATGTAAATTACACTCTTGGAAAGATTCATCAAGTTTCCAAAGGTATTTGTAGGCCTAAAAGATCAAGTAAAAGCCAAGAAACACATAATAATAATGTAGAGCTGTTTGGTTGAGGTAGAACCACTTTTTGAGTTCTTTAAGATTAGTTGTAAGAAAGAAATATATATATATATATATATATTCCATTTTTAAGGAAATGTTGTGTGAATTCTTGGTGGAAAGTGGATAGGGTCTTAAGCTTATGGATTTACAAATGATTAAGAAGTTATGAAGAGTACAAAAGAATGAAGTCATAAGATACTATCCAATTTAATTATGGTGTATAGGTGAAACTACAACAAGTTCACTATCTATACTTTTAGGTTTGAGCATTAACCAACCACACAATGAGTATAAATAATAAAATAAAATAAAATAAAAATAGAAAGACCCCACCCTACTAACAAATTGTGCAAGAAAGGAGATTGTATGGTGGATTAGGTTTAACAAATTAAGTTCTAATTTATGGTATATATTAGCCCATGGCCTTGCCTCAACTCCACTAATCATCCAATGAAGGAAAAAACACACATTTATGTAGGCATATATTTTGCATATGTTTATTTTTTATTTTTTTAATGTGTATCTAACAATTTGTAACGTCATAAGTTTTATTTTCAATTAATTGTCGATATTCCAACGTAGTGTTAGCAACACATCTAATATATACAGACAATACATAGGATAATTACGATAAAAAATAAATAAAATACATAGGATAACTACGTTAAAAAAATTAAAAAAAAAAAAAAAACAATACTAGGATATTAATCAACAACACAGGATTAATATATAGTACAAATATATACTATAAAATAAAAATTGTCAAACCCATTTCAAAATTCATAACAAATTAAATTCACTAGATTTAGTCTAACTATTCAATTCTTTCATACATTAAATATATAAATATTCAATAGATTTAGGGTATGTTGGATATGTTTCTCCAAGCTGTTTGGCCCATCTTACTGTGCACAGTACCCCATTTTATTGTACATTTATTGTGTAAAGTAAAATAGGCGCCAAACCTCTATTTTTTTTGTTTTTTTTTTAAAAAATATTAAAATTTTATTTAATATTTATTATAATTAAATGAAAAATATATACATATATAATATATATATGATATTTTGTAGAGAATAAAATTTTTTATAATACAAATAAAAAAAAATTTAAATATATATATGTTGGGTATACTATAAATTTATAATCAAATCATACAATATAAATTTTATAAATTAAATTTAATACACATAAATATTATTTTATTCATTATCCATCAAGTCAATACACATCAAAATTCCCCAAACTCCAACCAAACCCAAACACAAAACAAACAACAAAATTCAAACTCATTTCAAAATTCAAATAAAAACCAAACTCAAATCCAACTTTAGCCAAACTACCGCCAAGTTCAATATTCTCACCCCTACTTAAAAATTTAATACTTATTTTATATGAAGTTTAATAAATATTATATTTCAACCATAGTTTGTGATAATTTAAATAAGTAAAAATTATTTTATAAATACGAATGATATTTCTAATGAGTAGTAAGATCCAAATATACTTAAATATACCTCATTTGTTATCCAAATATAAGCTTATTTGTTGGGAGTAAAAATATTATTTTTTAGAATAAAAAGTAAATAGAAAAAGTGGTATTATTAAAAAAATAAAAATAGATTTAAATGAAAAGAAAAAAAGAATGGGAAGACAAATGAAATACTTTGTATTTGGGTAATCAAAAATAAGAAAATGTATACTTATCAAATAAATAGAATGAAAAACATCTTTCATATGGTATAGCAATTATTTTTATATTATTGAAAGACAATTTCAACGACATCCACTCGTTCACCATATCTTATGTCGTTCTCTTTTCATATACAAATGTTGTTGAACAATCAATTCAAAAAAAAATTGGCGGGCTGCTCGTCGCCGCCCCAGCCCAAACAGAAAACCCGACCCGATTCAGCTTAGAACTGGATCGGGCTTGAAAATGTCTGCCCGAAAGCCCAATTAGATGGGACAACATTCAAGAAAGTTTTGGTGACTCCATCAGTGGTGGTGACCATAAAAGAGAGAGGTTGACCATTGAGGTAAGAATTGGACTGCCAATTCGCCCCCCAGTTTCTTGACATAGGCAGCCACCCTGTCTTTGATCCCTTTATACGAACAGATTGAATAGAGCCAGCATTCCCGACATTGCTGATCAGCACAAGCTCGAAGTAGTCCCTCCCATTCATGCTGAATCTCACCCCTCCATTCTTCTTGCAAGGAACCCTAAATTTATTTATTAATAGGGTAAACTGATTTCTAAGTTCGTAACTAGACTTTTTTATTATTTTAGTTCAGTAACTAGAGCCTGTCGTAAATTAGTTTTGTAAGTGAAAATTTTTTGCACTTTTAGTCATCTGATGCCGGACATGCCTACATGGCTCGCCGGAGGACACATGTACGCCACGTCAGCGACACGTGGATTTTTTAAAATTTTTCTTAAAAATTAGTTTATTTATTCTTTTTTTGTAAAAATTAATTTTTTTTTAAAAAAAATTAAAAATCTACGTGTCCGCCGGGTCACCTGACGGATACGTGTCCTCCGACAAGCCAAATACGTTCCATGTAGGCATCTCCAGCGCTGGCGGGCGGACACGTGGAATTTTTTCAATTTTTTTTTCAAAATTAATTTATTTATCGTATTTTTTTGTAAAAATTATTATTTGTTTAAAGAAATTGAAAATTAAAAATTTTAAAAATTAAAAAAATTCATCTGTCTGCCAGGTCAGCAACACCTGGCGAACACTTATCTTCGGACACACGTAGACATCTCCGGTGTCGGAGTACTAAAATTGCAAAATATTTTACTTACGAGACTAGTTTGCGACAGGCTCTAGTTACGAGACTAAAATGATAAAGGAGTCCCGTTACGGGACGAAAAAAATCAGTTTACCCTTATTTATTTGAATATAAAAACAAAACATTCAGCTAACAATGCATGAGCTAGCTATTGCAACAAGTGTGAGTTGTTGTTGTTGTTACCTTTGGTAGAGCACAGGGACAATGCCGCCTTTGTAGATGCCGATCTTTTCCCACGCGGGCTGAGCCATGTCGAAGTGCTGGCGGGGAGGGTTGCACCAGCCGCCGTTGTCGCTGGGGAGATCGTAGTTTGGAGGGCAGAAGTTGGTGGCGGTGATGGTGACGGAGGTGCCCTTCTTGCACCATTGAGGGTCGGATTTGTAGTCACACATGATCTTGAAGCACTGTCCACATGAAGCTCCATTGTTGAACAATGCAGTGCTGAGTGCCGCTGTTCTTGTTCCATATCCTGCTGAGTACAGGTTGCCGTATCCACAGGCACCTCCTGTCCAGACATAAACACAAATCCATCGACACTTTTGAAATTTAAAACATACTTTTGTCTGCGGAAAGAAAATGATACAAAGGATTGATTGTTTACCCATTGTGCCAGATGCGTCGCTGCCTCCGTAGAATGTAGCATGGGCTTGAATCCATCCAGAAGGCGTTATAGCGCCGGCATTGATGATGAAACAATGTAATAGTACTAAGATCACTGCTGGTAAGAACATACTTCTTGTAGACATGTTTGGGGAGGTTGTAGTGAAATGTGGAAAGATGAGGAAATGAGAGGGAAGATTGTTGGTTATGAAATACAGACAGGTTATTTATAGATGCAAGAATTTGCAGAAAAGAACAAAGCTCACATGCAAGAAGCAGATAATATTGAATGATCTAGTGATGAATCTGAAAGCCCATCAATTGTACCCACGTTCTCTCCCTCAATTTTCTCTACAGAATCACATGGACATATTCCAAATTTATTCATGTCACACATTATTTAAAGTAACCAGTTGTTCTTATATGTGAGTATGTGAGAACACCACATAATAAATGCATATATATATATATAGGAATAACATTTAGCTATGTCACCTCACATGTGATGCCCTTCCAAGATCATATGTGCCCACACCCTTTTTATCCTCAGCTGTAGTGCCACATGCCTTCTGACATTATTGGATGAGATCCTGAGGTTTCTCAATGTATATTATAAACACAAGATTAGTACCTTCCCAGTTTCATTAGATATGCTTCATTCTTGTAATCGATCCATTTAGTTGTTCTTTGATGGGAACATCATCAGTGGCAGAAGATTAAACTATCATCAATCAAGCTAAACAATTGAAAGAAAGAGACACAGAGAACTTAGAAAGCAAAGACATTTTTGAATTGCAACAGAACAAATTAAAGAATTTGGTGCTCAACAACCAAATTAAACTACACTTGATCAAAGCAACTAATTAACTAAGAGAAAGAAAATAAAGACACAAGAGCTCACAACAGATATGCAGGCCTAGTTACTCTACAATGACTACATATATACATATATATATATCACCTTATAATTAATACATTGCCAGCAACGACGAAAAAAGAAACCAAGTGAGCAGACACCCAACAGAACAATCATATTGTGTCTTCTTTTAATAGGCACCACATACTGATTACCCATGCCTCAATTACTAACATCGCTCGGTCCATTTGATCTGAATCCACGATCTCTCACACGAATCCCCCTGCCACAGCTTTGGCCAACATCTGCATCAGAGAAATGGTGCACAAGCAATTATTATAACTAGCTCATTGAGCTACACTTAGGGTGTGTTCTCTTATCAAATTTACCCAATTTTTATTATTCATCAAGATTTTTCTCCTAAAAAGCATCAAATCAAAACTCTAATTTTCATTTTCTCTATTACACTACATATCAATTTTACATTAAAAACATCACATCAATACCTATTCATATCACATCATACAACTATTCTAATTCAAAATTTTTACTATTCAAATCTCAAACCAAAATCCAAACTCCCAAACAAACACACCCTTAGATAATTGCAAGAGATATCATGAATGGTGGAGATTAGTATTCAGTCTAGATAATAAATGTACCCAAATAGGCCATGAACAGACCTAAAATGATCTCTCAAATATTTTGGTAAGAGCAGCATCCTAAGGGGTGCAAAGCTATGGAAGTATATTGAAAGAAGTTAAAACAAGAAACTGAACAAACATAATAGAATTTCATATGCAGAAAGTAGCTTAGCATTAAGTATTAGCTAGAAATAGAGTTGCTAACAAGCTGAACTGAGCCGAGTTTTCATGTTCATATTTAAGTCGTTAAGGACTCGAGCTTGGTTTTTGTTCATTAAAGGTCACGAGCTAAAAGTTTTGTTTGAACTCGACTCATTAAACAAAAATTTGTATTTTTGTTCAGCTTGATAAGCATCTTTTTATTTTATTTATTCTATTTAAACCTAAATTTAATCTATTAATGTAATAATAGAATTATTATTAATAAACTTTGTATACAAATTAGAATTAAGTATAGTATCATAGATAAATATACTCCATCCGTCATCCAATTGTATGCTCATTTGACCGGATACGGATTTTAAGAAAAATAGATAAAATAGAATTTTTACCTTTTTTAATAAAAAAAAAAGTTGTATTATTTTACTAAATGAGTTCAAACAAACCGAACCGAACTGAGCTCTCAGACTACTTGTTTGTTTTACAACTCTAGTCAGAAAGTGTTTTTTGCTTAGCTGAACTTATAAAAAACAATATACTGGAATAGTTACTGAGAAGGGAAACGCTACCTCCCCTTCCGCGACCACCGAAATAGCGACTTCTAGCTCTTCCCCTTCCCCTGCCAACAGAATATCCATGATTCAACTGATAGCCACCACGCTCATACTTAGCAGATGCAAACTCATCCCCTAAAATGAAAAAAGACAGATTATCATAGTCGTTGAACTGATTCTAATAGAACACCAAGAGATTGGCTAAATTCATACCAGATGGGACTCTAGGCCTCCCATTCACTCTACTAACTCTTCTTCTTTGGGCAGGAGGCGATCCCTCTAGAGAATCATAACATATGAAAACATTTTCTTACTGGAATAAAGTAAAGTAACTGCAAAAATTAAAAATTCCACCTCCATCGTAGTTAGGCTCTGTAGAAACCTTCACCATGTGAGCTGGAATAGGGGGCTGATACCTATAGAACACAAGGCCATCAAAGATCCCACTTCAATGAATTTATGTCATCAGAAGACAGAAGGAACTGCTTGCACATTAAGGGAAAAGAACAGACATGAGAAAGATATGGAGAAGGGGGGCCTTGCAAACAGAAAATGTGTGCAACATCTCACCCAATATTTTTCTTGTCCAACTCCTTTTTTGAGAGAACAATTGTGACCATTGATACTTTTCTTGTGGTTTCAAGGCTGCGAAGATTTAGCATACAATGGCAGAAAGACCAGAACGTTAATATCCCTCAATCAACATCAAGGCATATCATTGGATCTCAATTTATCGAAAAATGGCATTACGTTTGCAGGCCTTCTTCCAGGGGTTCCCATGTGTCAGTTATGTCCGTGGATTGGATTGATGTTGTTTGGTGAAGATCAACAATTCTTCTCTGAATCACAAAAGAACAGTTTTCAGTATATCAACATAAGAAATTAAAACGAAGAACCAACATCGACCTGCAAAAGTAACAGAATAGCTCAAACCGAAAACCTTGATCAACTCCACAATGGTTACAGCTTTATTGATTGCTCTGCCCATTGCCTTTAATACTATTTCATCCGAACCCTTTTCCTATAATCACCACACAATATACTTGTGAATCACTTTGCTCTATGAAGTACTTTCCTAACCAATTCAAGAATGGCAACTATTTTACTAAAACGATACAAACCAACCAACACAAATTGCTAAAATTCAACCCCAAGAGTATAAAACGAAATAATGCATCAGTGTCCTTTTGCCAACTCCATGAATCCTAATAAAACTACACATAAAAATCCAAGAAATTAAACTGGCATTGCAAAAATGCAAAGCATGGGTATTTAGTTTATTGACACGTTCTCCCTCAATATAGGATACAGCAATCAAAGTATATCGAAGCAACGTTTATCTAAACAAGGACTGGCTATTAATTGAAATAAGTTCACAACCATGACAAGTAATTGACCATTACATTCAAAGTTTCAAACAGAGCAGAAACAGATAATAGGGATCACTTGATAGATGAGGAAGAGAATCCAGGATGAACGCTTTGCCCTAAGCATACACATAAAGCACAATCCCGCAGCGAAGCACTAACTCACACATGGAGTGTATAAGCACACCTGAAGCAGAGTCATAGCATAAGCGATGTAATTCCGCATCCTGCCTTGACTCGTAATGCGAATTTCATTCTCATCAATCTGTGACTCCTCCTTCGGCTTCTCCACTTTCTGGTACCGATCCATGCTCATAACTTTTCCAAGCAGAATTCAGTAACTGTTTATTGTATCCAGCTACAACCGAATCGGGAAAACCTGCAATAACTAGGGTTTGGATATGCACCAAATCTGCAATTAAAGTTAGATAACTGAAATTCTAGGAGTGATGCTGGAAGTACGTGCAGAACAGCATCTGTACATGAACAAAAGGGTGGGTATGTAAACGCGAGTTCATACTCTGAAGGATATGATCATATGATGATGTGGTCCAGAGTAGGAGGACCCTCAGCTCCGACAATTCTTTTCTTCGTTATTCCCACGATCGCCTCGCGGAGTGCTCCTGGAGTATTTTGTTGCTCCAGGTCCAGGACTTGTGCCCTAACTGGCTATCTCCTCTTCTCTGCTGTCGTTGTCGGTATCATGTATGTGTGTATGTATATGATATACTACGTGCATCCATCTATGTATAGGTACGTACATATGTTGAATAATTAATTAATTGACAATGATTGGAAATTTGGATAAGGTCGTCACTCACTCAAGACACGATTGAGTCTTCTTAAGATTTCAAGTAAACGAAACGACGGCGTTTTGAAGATTCGATGCACGTACCAAATATTATATTCCATTTTGCTCATTCTCATAACAAACTATCTATTTTTTTTTTTTTTTATATAGTAATTGTACTATTTACTTAACATTATAAATATTCTTACAACTTACAATATATTACACAAATGCTATTACCTTTATATCACACTATCACACATGCTAATTAGATTATTTTAGTTATTTCTATTTTATTTCTAATATATTCTAATATAATTCTAATATTTTTAAAATTATATGTGAAAAATAAATAAATATTTCTTTTGGGGACAGAGGGAGTATTGTTTGTTCGAGTGGGGCCATTATTAATTTAAGGATTCAATTTGTGCGTCTGTTCTTTGTTTTCAAATTTCTTCAACTTTGGGTTTGTTCATTGAACTTCTTTATATGGTAGGACTTCATATAATATTCGCTCCTATGATGTCCCTTTTGTTAGGATATAATATTTTATTTTTGATCCGTCCGCTTACAAACTTTACATGTTTTTATTTTGAAACGTCCAATTACAAAGTTTACATTTCATTGAATGCTCTACTTTTTTTCACAAATACCCTTATTTTACATCACATCATTACTTTTACACAAAAAAGTAAAGACAAAAATGTCATTACACTACTTTTAACTAATCATTATAATTAAAATACTATTATTTTTTAAACACCGCACCAAAAGTAAATGTAACCCTTGTAAATGGACGGAGGGAGTATATTTTAGGGTGTGTTTCTTTAGGAGATTTTGAGGAAATTTGGGTTTGAATTTGATTTTTATTTGAATTTTGAGATGAATTTGAATTTTGATGTTTTTTTTTGTTTGAGTTTGGTTGGAGTTTGAGGAGTTTTGATGTGTATTGATTTGATTGGTATGAATATAATAATATAAATGAATAGTAATTTGTATAATTTAATTATAAATTTATATTATATTTTTAAATTTTTATTTATTTGTATTATAATAAAAAAAATTTTACAAAATAACATATATATGTATATATTTTATTAAATTATAATTATTATAATTTTCTTTATATTTATAATTAAAAAAAGAAAAAAAAGAAAAGGACAATGAGTCTGTCCACCAAACCTCCTCCAGCCCAGTTTTATTTACACAGTGATCTAGCCTAAAACTGGGTTGGAGATACAAACTCTTAAATTATTAAATTATTAATAATAAGATATTATTTATTATTATTTTCTATATGAGTAATATTATTAGTATGTTAAATATTTTTAACATCATATCTCAATAAAATATATACAATATAAATATTATTTTACAGATAATAAAATTTTATGTAATACAATAAATAAAAAATCTATTTATTTATTTATAATTAACTTAAAATTTATTTTATAAAAAATGAGAAGGTTAAAAGATAAATAAAATTAATTTTATTTTTTTTTAAAAAAAATATTAAATCCAATCTTAATTTTAATTTGTCTTTTCTATTACGTTACTTTACAATTTTTGTAAAAATGTAGTATAACTAAAAAATAATTATATACTTTTATTTAAATTTGGTATCTCAATTATAATTTTAAATTTTAATTTAACTATAATATATAAATTAATAATAATAATATAATAGTATTTTTTGCTTTTTTTTTAAAAATATAATATATAACTAATTATTTTTATAATATAATATTTCATCCGTCCATTAACATTAACCTATTTTGGCTCAACACGAAAATTAAGAAAAATGAATATTTTTATTGAAAAAGTGATAAATAGTTGATGATATTTTTGAAAATTTATTTAAAAAATAAAGTAAATGAAGTGAGAGAATGTATTAAAGTTAGTGATATTTGTTGTAAATAAGTATTGAATTGATAGTAATAATTAAATGTTGATTTGTTGACTTTGCAAAAATTAATAATGAGATAAATTTAGTGGACAAACTAAAATAAAGTGAGAATAAATTTGGGGACCGAGGAAGTATATTATAGTATTGTATTTTATTATTATTATTATTATTATTATTATTAAGGATAAAATAGTAATTTTAGTTAAAAAGTGTTTGTGCTCCTTTTAAAGTTGCTCTCAATGTGCTTCTGCAAAAATAAAAAAAATAAAAAAAAATTTTTTAGTCTCAAAAGTTGCTTCTGTTTTGGACAAAAATCCATGCAAACAAATACAAAGTATTTTCTTAGAAGCAAAAACCAAAAATAGCTACCAGAAGCCAATCCAAACCGTACCTAAATAATAAAAAATAATTAAATATGTTACAATATATAAGTGAAATAAATATTTCAAGATCTATCATGAGTACATTTGGTAATAATATTTAACTCTCATATTAATGAAAATAATATATTTTTTACTCGTAATATTTTATATATATATATATATATATATATATATATAAAACTCAATTCTATATCAAACCAAACAAGCTCTGCACATTTCTTCTATTTCCATTCATAAAATGGTGCAATGTCAAAAAAAATTAAAAAAAGTACATAAATAAATTTAAGTATAATTTTAGATATTTTTCCCCTTATTTTCGTAAAAAAAATAAAACAATAATTATATTCAAACTCAATTTTGTATTATATTAGTATTTTATAATTATAACAATATATAGTATTCTTTTTTATAATATTTTATGGTTGAAAATAAAATAAAAATAAATAAATATAAAATATAACTCTTAAAATATTTAAATTTAACTTTCTTATGAAAAATTAATATTTTTTTATCAAAATTATAAAATAACATACTAAAAATAAAGAAGAATATAATATATAATTTTCTATTATTTTAAATTTAAAGAATGAAGAAACTAATAGGATTAATTTTTTTTTAATCTTTAAATGGATTTAAATATATTTATTCTCTCTTTTGTATTATTATAAATATAATGATATTATTAATTGGAAGATGAGAAATATAAAAAAAAAAAAAAAAAAAAAATTGAAATAAAGGATTTGAGGCCTAAGTAAGCACCATAACCATTCACATTAATAAATTTTCTTGCTTTGTTACAACTTGGTTCAGTTCTTTTTTCGACAGCCCAACATAGTTTTAAACTGGGCCTGAAAAGCCCAAGTCCGAGCCAATACAATTTTAAGTCATGTCAAACTGGAGTAAGCTATTTTTAAATTTTTTTATTTTAATTTATTTTACATAATTATTTATACTAATCTAAATAAATAAAATTATGATAAAAAAAATAATTAAGTTATTGATAATTTAAAATTGAAACATTTAATATATAATTAAATTTTTCAATTTTATTACATATTTAAATTAAATTTTATTTGATAAATCTTACGGCGCACGGTTCAGTTCAGTTTGCACTAGCCAGCCTAGACATGGCCCGGATTTTCAACCGCCGCTGGGATGGCTCGGTCCAGTGCTCGGATCAAGACTTTCTGGCTTTGCTCATTTTTGCGGGCTATATAATATATATTCTCTTATTCAATATTTACGATCCACGAGCATCTACTTTCTTCCCAAGAGTTGAACTTGAAGACGAATACAAATTCTGTGATCTAATTTGGCTGAGAATACCTTTCTCATCAATGGCGCGATTCCGACTATCCGAAAAAGAAATCTTGGTCGCTCTTCTTGACGAAACGACTCGAACCAAAGTGCCGCTGCCCCAACATTTCAAACGAAGAATTCCCACTTTCGACATTTATGGCGACCAAGCTCCCTCAGAAATTTTCAAAGACTTCTGGGAAGACGATGAAATATACTTCTTCACAAGGCTCAAGAAATTCAGCAACTCGAGAATCCGCTCATGCGGCAATGGGAGCTGGAAGATGAATCGCAGAACTACCTTAATCAAAGACGACGAACAACAAATAATAGGTCAAGCAAAGCATTTTAAATTCAAAAGAGATCAAAGTCGAGGCAGGAGGAGGAGGAACGACGACAAGAACAATTTCTTGTTGAGAGAGTATACTCTCTCTAGCCATTTCCAGACCAACTGTGTCCGAGACTCTTGCCACGATTACGCGTTGTGTATAGTGATCAAGAAAATCGTAGGCGAGTCACTCGATTTTATCGATCCTCCGACGAGGAGCTTCATCGATGCCCAGAGGTATTTGAATCTGATCTTGGAAGCAAATACTAGAAGATTAACCGAAAAAGAAATCATCTTGTGTCTTCTTAACAAGGTTTGTAAATATCGACTGCCGTTGCCAATTCGGTTCAATCCTGTCATTCCCACCTTCGACATTTACGGCGAAAAGGAGCCGTGGGATATCTTCAGAGGCTACGATAATTGCCGGGAAGTCTTTTTCTTGACCAAGATCAAGAAAATCTCCGGAAAAAGTTTCCGGGAATGCGGCAAGAGTGGGAAATGGATTGAGCATGTAAGAATCGATTCGATATTTCATAAGAGGGAAAGTGTGGTAATAGGGCGTGGGCAGACGTTCTTACACACCTACAAGAAGGATGGTCGTGTCTATGGTAATGAAATTGGGAAACGATGTTATTATGCCATGAGAGAATATTCTTTGGACGAGAAGTTCAGAAGTTGTGTGAGAGATGGCTGCGAGGATTTTGTGCTGTGTTCGGTGAGGAAGACACGGGATGTCGACCGAGCTTACTTTGATCAGTTCATCGGAGGTGTCTTGGAAGAGAGCAGCCGCGGTGCCGAGATGTTCTTGGATCGGATTTTCAATGTTGTCGATGATAATAATGATGATGATGAGCCTGCGTCGATTGATCATCGTGGCGAAGAAGATGATTCTGAAATGGTTAGGAGGTTACAGAATATTGAATGTGAACCCATCCCTGAAGATCCATCGAATCCCGACAACTGGTTGATGCAAATAAATTGATGAAGATGTACTGAAT